GCGGCGGCCGAGAAGGATGCATCAGAAGCTGCTGAAGAGCGCGCATTACATCGAGCTGGGCAGCTACCAGTACTGGCCCGTCCTGGTGCCTCGCGGCATCCGCCTCTACACCTACGAGCAGATTCCCGTGTCCCTCAAGGACAACCCGTACATCACCGATGGCTACCGGGCCTACCTGCCTTCCAGGCTGTGTATCAAAAGGTACAGTCTGGCCGCCTCCGCTGGGCGCGCCTTGAGGGGCGCGTCGGCGGCCCCTCCTCCTCATCTACTCCCTTTTTGTCTGGTCTGCCTGCTGCTTTCCCCGCTTTTCTCCGGGCACATCGTTTCCTAGCTGCCCCATCCTTTTCATCCTTTTCTGCCACCTCTCCTCGCTTGTTACCTTTCCTTCCCCCCGCCGGGGTACTTGATCCGTGGAATAACAATGGTAACCACGATCATAATCACCAACTCTCCCATGGCGGTTTGCTGTTTACAGAGGGATTTTATATCCTTTATTCCATTTGGTGCTTATTGGGATACGTGTTGGAATAGACCCCACTGACAGTGGCTGAGCTGTGCTTGCCCCTGTGTATACCTAAGCTTTGTTTATTTTTAAGGCGGCCCTATGGAAGTTCGTATATTTGGGGCCAGGTAAATGCCTGTATAATAGGAAACAAGTTCACATGGCCATATATATAGAAACTGCTGACTGATTCATTCATTCAGCGGATACTGTGGAACCCCTGTTAGGTACCAGGAGCCCTACGAAGTCCTGCAAAGAACAGCAGGCATGGCCCTTGTTCTCATGAAGCTACCAAGATCTAGCCCGGATGACACACATTAAAGAGCTAATGACACTATTACATAATAACCATTGTGAAAAACGCTGTGAAGGAAAAGCGGTATAGCAAAGAGAGCCTATAACAGGCACCACCCTCCACTAGAGCACTATAGAAGCATCTTTAAGAAAGGAATTTCTTCATCTAAACTCTTAAAACTGAGTCCCTTGAAAGCTGGGGATTAAAAAAACAAAACTGAAAAAATTTATAGTTCCTAGACTAGCTTTCTGTTAAAAATCACTGTATGTACTTAATTATAGGACCCCACTTTAAGAGAATTAAGATGCAGGTGTTGGTTAGCTCCAGGTGACTGTGGTGACAGATCCCACTGCTGGAATGTGGGCTATTGAATTGCTCAAGCAGCAACCACATGTCTGATTCTTGATCTTGTTTTCAGCATGATCTTTCCCCAGTACCTTTGCTCTCCCTGCCTGGAAAGTGTTTCTCTGACTCATGGTCACAAGGTGATGTCACTGTCCATCCCTACTTGACTTCAATAAATGGCCCACAGTGCTTCACAGTTTGAATCCTAAGTACTATTTTCCTCCCCATTGCCTCCTTTGCGTAAGTTACTCATAAGAAATCAGATCTGGGCCCTGCTGTGGATGTGGAGTTACACAAGAATAGAGCAGATAGTGAATTGCCTTAAATAGTTTCATACCCACCTGGTCGTGGTCCTCTGCATTCTAATGTTAGGGTCCAAATCTCATGATTGGAGGAGTGAAATATAATGCTTTAGATCTTGGGCTATTGAGTGAAAAAAGTCTTGGGTATGCAGATCTGCCTCTAACAGCTGAGGGACCTTGAACAAAAGTTAACCTCTCCCAGCCTTAATTTCTCTATTCTTAAAAATGAGGGTAATTACAGTATCTTCTTCAGAAATTACTAAGGACTAAATGAGATTATGTATGAAAAATGCTACACAGAGCCTGGCACATAATAAGCACTCAATAAATGGTGACTTGCTATCACCCTGATCATTGAATTTGAAGTTGAACAGATGATAATGATGAAGTTGATTGTTGGTTTTGAAGGTGAACAGAGTGTAGGTCTAAATTCTCATGGAACAGGAGTAGACTCTCTACTGGAGATACTCTTCCAGGTGCTCTTCCAGTTCAGCTTTTGCCCTCTCTTCTTTAAGCTGCCAAGAGGGACGAGGACAGATTTTGAATATAAGGAAATGTTTTTTATGTCACAGCTGTTCTGCCAGTACTCTGTTAGTTGAAAGGAGCATACCAAGATTGTGTCTCTTCGCTCAATTAATCAGGTTATACTGGGTTTCACAAAATGAAAAGGTATTGGCTGTCAAACAGTCCTGTGGTTAAATGTGTTTCCTCATATTCCTGCATCTCCCTGCCCCCAAGATAAATAGTCTTTATAGTTGCTGCTTCTACAGGATAAAGTCTGAAATTCATGATACGAGATCCACTTTATTCTTGATGATCGTTTGATAGTGTGAGACACTGCTGTGTTTATAGCATGGGAAAATGAGAACCATAGTGACGACTGCAAATTCAGTATTTTGGTTATACATTAGTGCTTACTAATGATGATTCTGAATCAGTGATGGTTAAAGACTAGTTTATACAAAAGATTAGATTTTGCAAGAGAAATGCAAGAGCATTTTAATCTTTAGTCATGATGTCACCTTTTGATAATCAGTTGTCCACAGCTGGAGAAATGCTTCACAAAATTAAGGAAGAAGCTGGAAGGGACTTGCGGCCGAATCTAATACACCTCCCTTGTTTTAGAGATGGAGAAATTGAAGCCAGAGGGGTTAAGTGACTTGCTTATGATCCCAGAGCTAATTTGTTGTCCAGGGTGGGAGTGAAGGGACCCGGAGCCTCCTGACTTCTGGTCGTTGCGGAACACTCTGCACTGACCTGTGCTGTCAACACTTCTTAAACTCAAACCAGTTAGGGCGAATTGAAAGAGGGCAGTTAGTACTGATATGAAAAGTAAACACTTGTTGTTCCTAAAAAGTGTAAACTTACTCCACCTGAAAACCAGTTTGGTTTCAAAACAACCACAGCAAAGTTGATACAGCATGCCTGTCTTAAAGGAGATTTCTGGTGGATCAATTTGTATTTATTCTGCTTCTCTCAAGTCCATTTAACTTTGTTATTTGCATGAAATGAGTACTAAAAAGGTGTTTTAAGTTTGTGTCTACCCTTAAAACTTAGCAAGTTTTCAGAGACCTATTACTGAAAGTCAGAGTACGCTAGCTAATGCCCAGTTTTAATCTGTACATTCGTTACTGTAGACATTTAGCATCTAATCTGAGCAAGATGCTGTGCTTGGAACAGTGGTGTCATAAAGATAAATGGTACCAGCCATCTGGAGTTAATAAGCTGGAGGATGAGATGGAATTTATACATAAATAACTCTAATCGAGGAAGGAAATGGTAAATATAATAGAGGTGAGCAAGAAAAAACTAAGCTCTCAGGATTGATAGAGGTGTGGAAAGATTAAGTGATATATCAAACTTAAAATGGCAAAAATGGGGTTAAGGGCTTAAAGTTACCAGTGTTAGATAACCCAGAAAATTGTCCCTAATCTTTTACATGCTGACAACGAGCAAACGAGCAAGCAGATATGAATCTGAGCTGCATTTGTGTTTTGTTTTGTTTTTCCAGTTTGTTTATTTTATCTAATGAGACAGTAAACATCTGGAGTCATTTGCTGGGTTTCTTTCTCTTCTTCACGCTGGGAATATATGACATGACATCTGTGTTACCTTCAGCAAGTGCGTCCAGAGAAGATTTTGTAATTTGTTCTATTTGTCTGTTCTGCTTCCAGGTAAGTCATTCCACAAACACTACTATTGGTACAGAGAACTTTAGTCAGACAAGCTGGGGCAGGTGCCCTTCACACTCACCACTTGCTTTCAAGAGCCACAAAGTAGCATATAGGTTAGCGTATTCACTTTTATAATATTCACTTTTATACAGGCACCAAAAGTATGCTTTTATGAGAGTATATTTGGATGTTATTAGAGTATATTTGTAATCCAGTAAGTTTTAAGGATTGAGAAAACACCCTTTCTTTTTTTAGACCTCTCTACTTTAAGAGTAGTACGTAAAGATAAGAATCTCTGATTGTACTGTTTGCTTACTGAAGTAGAACACTGTTGCCTACTTAAAACCTACCTGAAGATTTCTCATCTTACTCCTGTTTATATGTCTGCGACTTTTATGTTTGTTTCCATACCATCTTAATTTTAATGTCTTTTGCTGCTATTCATCTTTTCTGTCACCTTAATGTTAATTTCCTTTTGTCCTTTTACACTTGCCTAGTTTCATGTACTTTCAGTTTCTCCTCCTCTCTGCCTCTTATATTTGTTAGCTCCTCAGCGCTTTCATTTTTCTTCAAGAATTTTTAAAAGTTCCTTTAAAAGTTATGTTTAATAATTTTTCAAACAGATAATTCTAAAGAAGGAAACAAATGTGGACCAAAATCTGGTTGATTTAAAAAATTTTTTTAAATGCAGAGAGTACCCAAAAAACCCATAAAAGTGAAAAGAAAAGCTGTCATCCCCTTCCTCCAAACAAAAGCCAGCACTCCCTGTAGCAAATCTATAGCAGATCTGAGAGAGGAAGGGCTAAGTCAGCTGCACAGTGTTGCTTGTTGCTTTCCTTGTGTGTCAGTTTCAGACCTTCATCATTTGACTCAAAACTTTGGACTTAAATGACCAAGAAACAACATTGGAAACATCTCCCTCCCCTTTCTTCTAATTCTTGTTTCTAGAATAATATTTTAAATTTCTTTGAGAGAATGAAAACTATGTATTTTTGTGTGTGTGTTACAATTAGAAAATTATTCTTTAAGTATTTTTTATAGTATGAAGAGTACACATGGTACTTTAAAAGAGTCTCAGGCTTAATTTTCTTCCTGATTGGAGCCTCAACATCTCTTAGAATCTATCTGCATTTTTAAAATGAAAATGAATCAATTTCTTCATAGTTAAATTTTTAGATGTATTTTATAGACTGCTCTTAACAGTCATTAATAGAAAAACAGGTTTGTACTCTACTGTTAGTTACATGGATATCATCTCCTTTGAGGATCTCACATGCTTTCCTCTGCGCCTAGGCCTGCCCTTCACCAATTCACCACCTAGCCACAGCTGGTGTTAGTTCAGGGAGCACATTAATTTCCATAGTGGTTTAAGAAAGCTGAGAAGATGAAGTGATTAAAACAGACGCCACTGAAGAAACACCCTAAGTGTTAGAGTGACATGCTGAGGATTGATCAGCAAGACAGTAAAATCTTGTTCTAACTGCTAGTATGCAACCTGCTAAAGACAAATGACCACATTTTCTCTACTGAAAAATACAATTTATGTCGTTTTTATTTTTATATTATATTTATCTCTTGTTCACCCAACCTTCCCAAATTCGTAGAGTCAACAGGCAGCATGGTAAACCACAAATAGATGTATTTATTTTGATTTACATTTAATTTTTTAAAAGCATAGGATATTTTCTCTTTTCACTTCTATTCTTTTTATATGCTTGGTACTTTTCTACCAACCAGATTAACAGAGTACTTTCTGAATAGTGAGTTGTAATTTCAGGGGCTTTGAACTTTCCCAGAGGTCTTTTCTATCTTAGAGAAGAATAGAATCTGAGAATGCCTTTCCTTGGATTGAGTTTATAAACATTCATTTCAACAAATTTTTTTAATACTTTCTATTTATATCCAGGCACTAAGCTAGGCATCGAGGATATGCTGCTGAACAAAACCAGCCTGTCATAAAGATCAGGTCACCCAGATAGGCCAGCAGAAAGAAGAATGAGGCAGGGCATTTAAACAGAAAAAAGGGTTTGTTTTAAGGCCCAGAAACAAGGGACAGCTTAGCACTTTCTGGCCTTTAGGTGTTTGTAGTGTGATGCTAGGAAAATGGAGCAAGAGGAGGCTGGAGACATAGGCAGAAGCCAGATCTTGAGGTATTTGGTTACGATGGCAAGGAGCTTGGATATAAGATGTCATACTATAATCATCTGTCTACCTTGATGTAGTAAGGTATTTCACAGAAACATACTCTCCAGAAAACAGTAACATACTCAATATGCCAGATAATTTTTCAGTCAGTTTTTTAAGCAGCTCTAACAACATATCCCTTTTAAAACAGAACATACTAAGTATAGGTTAACTTTTTTTTCCAGTTGAATGAAAGATCCTTTAAATTCTATAGTGCTTTACAATTTTCAGAAGTTTCACTCACATGATTTCATATAATCCCATAATAAACCTATTTCTTCTACCCCTGTGTTACCCCTCCCCCATTCCCCTTCCCACTGATTACTATTTTTATTCACTAGTTTGTTGTATTTTTTAGATTCCACATATAAGTGATGTCATACAGGATTTCTCTTTCTCTGACTTATTTCACTTAGCATAATGCCCTCCAAGTTCATCCATGTTATTGCATATAGCAAAATTTCATTCTTTTTTACAGCTGAATAGTACTCCATTGTTTGTGTGTGTGTGTGTGTGTGTGTGTGTGTGTGTGTGTATACACACCATATCTTTATCTACTCATCTGTTGATGGACACTTAGGTTGTCTTCCATACCTTGGCAATTGTACATAATGCTGCTATGAACATTGGAGTGCATGTATCTCTTTGAATTTATATTTTTACCTTTTGGGGCATATACCCAGGAATGGAATTGCTGGGTTACATAGTAGTTCTATTTTTAATTTTTTGAGGAACCTCCATACTGTTTTCTATAGTAACTGCACCAGTTTACATTCCCACCAACACTGTATGAAGGTTCTCTTTTCTCCACATCCTCGCCAATACTTGTTATTTGTGTTCTTTTTTGATGATAGTCAATCTGACAGGTGTGAGGTGACAGCTCAGTGTGATTTTGATTTTCATTTCCCTGATGAATGGCAATGTTGAGCATCTTTTCACGTGGCCATCTGCATTTCCTCTTTGGAAAAGTGTCTGTTCAGTTCTGCTCATTTTTTAATTGATTTGCTCATTTTTTTGATGTTGAGTTATGTGAGCTGTTTATATATGTTAGATATCAACCCCATATCGGTCATATCATTTGCAAATATCTTCTCCCATTCAGTAGGTCGTCTTTTCATATTTTTTTATTGTTTTCTTTTGCTGTGCAAAAACTTTTAAGTTTAATTAGGTCACATTTGTTTACTTTTACTTTTGTTTCCTTTGTTTAAGGAGATGGATCCAAAATAATATTGCTGTGATTTATGTCAAAGAGTGTTCTCACTGTGTTTTCCTCTAGGACTTTTATAGTATCCAGTCTTGCAATTAGGTCTTTAATCCATTTTGAGTTTATTTTTGTATGTGGTGTTAGAGAATGTTCTAATTTCATTCTTTTGCATGTAACTGCCCAGTTTTCCCAGCACCACTTATTGAAGAGACTGTCTTTTATCCATTGTATATTCTTGCCTCCTTTGTCATAGAGTAATTGACCATACGTGCATGAGTTTATTTCTAGACTTTCTGTTCTGTTCTGTTGATCTATGTGTCTGTTTTCTGCCTGTACCATACTATTTTGATTACCATAGCTTTGTAATACAGTCTGAGGTTAAGGAGCATGATTCCTGTTCTTTCTGAAGATGTTTTGGCTATTTGGAGTCTTTTGTGTTTCCATAGGTTAACTTTTTTAAAGCTCAAATGTTGTTTATGAACACTAAATATTTTACTTTTGATAGCTTAGTGTTTCACTTTCCACTTTTATTTTCCTTTTCACAATGAAATTAGTTTTATTGTTGTTTCTTACTATTACTATAAGATATACTTATATAGAAATTCAAGCAAAAAAAGTATTTGGAAGAAAGTGAAAGACATTTGAAATTACCCTTCCACATTTGACATTTGGATTAGAATCCCTCCAGACATTTGTGTATGCACAGCTGGCTCACATTTGCCTGCCTACATTCCTATGTACCTCTTTATCTGCTGTGGTCATCTCTGCTTGCTGTTTTGTGTCACCCAACATTGTAACAATGAGGTCTTTCCCTGTAATGAGAACATACACCTTGATGTTCTCTGGATTTACTGTGTTTAATCTCAGAGATGATCATAGAAAACAAATAACCAAGCTTCTTAGAGTTATGTTTAATTGGGTCTGTAAATTCTGGTTTATAGCTTAATAACCAAAGCCACAGACCAATAAGGATTGTAGATAGTGGATGAAGAAATGAGATTGTGGCTAGGAAGCTTGTTTTGAATATTGATATTGAGGCCGTGGGGACTGATTGGGTTTCTTCTAGGCCAAGCTGTAGAATAGCTGGGTGACCATTTATCTGTCCCATTTTCCCCATTCCCCACTGTCCCTGGTGTAGTGTAGGCTCTAGGCATTGCTTCCCAGGGCTGCTCCTGTACCCTCTCGCCGTAGCTTTTTGAAAGGTGCACTTAAACTCTTCAGTAGTAGCACACATAGCCCGTAACAGTGAAGCTAAAACTCCTTGTTTGAGGACTTGTCATAATCATATCATGAAGAAGTCCACATGACATTCCTTAGTGGTTCTGTTTCTCAATATGCTGCTTTTCCTGGGGGCCCTCCAGCAAACCCGTGCACACCTTTATTTATATCTTTGATGGATGCCAGGTCAACCTCAATCCAGCTCAGGTGGCACCCCTTCTGTGCAGTGTGAAGCTCTTTTCCTCCCACCACTCCCACCCCTCTAAGTACACACGTGCACCCACACACCCAATCCCCTCCCTCCTCCATTTTCTAACTGTGCTCTGCAGTGACTTTTCCTTTGGCGCTTCCGACATCACCATTTGTTCACTTGTTTCAGAAAAATCTCTTTGAGAGTAGAGGTTTCATCTTTGTGTCCCCAGTACATGACACACAGCAGGTATTTAATGACTAGAGGGAGTTCAGCCATAGAAACCTTATCAATCTTCAGGGCAGCTGATTGAATCAGATTAGCTTTGCTCTCAGTTTGGCAACATCTAAAATCAGCATAAGTCATAATTATTTTTTCTCCAATACAACAAAGCCATGTTTAACTTTAACTTAAAAATGAACCCTATACAATGAGTCTCATACAGATGTTAAGTCTTAAATTAAGTGAAAAATGTAAATAGCAGAACAAAATGTATGATTCCATTTGATTAACTTTAAAAAGTATGTATCATATTTTCATGTATGTGTGTAGACTTCTGTATCATAGATGTTTGATATGTTCATTGAAAATATCTGAAAGGACACATAAAAAATGTTTTCAGTGGGGAATAGATTGACTAGGAGGGACTTTTTTTTTACATCATACATTTCCATGTTTTTTGATTTTTTAAAGACATGTATTACTTCTATAGTAAGTAGTTTTAAAAAGGAAACATTCATGAATCAAAATAATTCTCAGTAGATTTCCTACTACTATGCTATTCATCGAAGTTTTTTGTATTCTAAAATAGCTATCATTTTAGACTTTTTTCTTTATGATTTTTATCCCGATTTTACTGATGAGGAAACTGAGGCTTAGGGAAACGGCATAACTTGCCTGACACAAAGTTAGGATCCAAGGCCAGGTCTTTTTGGCTGAAAAGCCTGGGCTTGACCTAACCACTTCCCTGAACATCATGCATGAGTTACTTTAATTTCTTTTGTTTCACTTTTGTAAGATTTGTTTTATCTTCCATAGGTCTGTATGCTTTGCTCTGTGGGCTATCATCTTTTTTCCTGCCATCGATCAGAAAAAACCTGTCGAAGATGGATGGCATTAGATTATGCAGGAATTTCTATTGGAATACTGGGCTGTTATGTCTCTGGAGTATTTTATGCATTTTATTGTAATAATGTAAGTAACTTAGAACATTTTACATTCTATCTTTCATATAGGTCTTGGGTTTTCTTGCCATGGTTCCTTTGAACTTATGAATAAGCACATAATTAACCTGTATAAGAAGTGGTAGAGTCTTAGGTAGGCATAAACTCATTTTTCAAAAGGGCCCTATGATCTCTAACATCTGTTATGAGTTTTACTCATTTTACTAATTTTCCGTAGAAAAGAAATACGTATGTGTATATGTAGTTATTTTCTGATATTTAACTTAGTGATATTAAATTAGTAACGTTTCCCCCACTAAATCTGTATAGCTACATGGTTCCTCAGGTGTGCATTACATCTTTTATTTTTATATTTATAGACTTAAAGTTAACACTTGATAAAGTTATGAAGCTGGCTGCTTTTTTCCATTTTTCCGTCTTATCCTTTGCTCCTCTCAGTGGGAGAAAAAAAAAAGGAAGGTTTATCTGTGAGTATGTTGACCCATATTTTTATACAAAAAATACATTTTCCTTTCCTTAGTCTTATATTTGGAGGCAGGCCTAGAGACAGACCAAGTGGGCGGTGAGTGTCTTTAATAAACATTTGAGTTCTAGATTAACTGTTTTCTGACCCTAAAGTTGCAAAAGTCATTTATGGCCTTGTGCAAAGCAGCATTTGAAACACTGTGATCAAGTTATACAGCAGCTGATCTAAATATGATGGCCAACCAAACTACCTCATCACCCCATGACTCAGCCAAGAAGGCAAACTGACTCTTCCCTTGGGCTCAGTACATCTCCAGGTCTTCTGTTCAGAAAGTCCCCATCAACCCTACCTTCTTTTTCTCCTGCTCTCCTACCATACCCCTTTTTTTCCCCCCTTTTATCCTTTTAGTTCCCCCTCTTTCAGAGCCGAGATTGAGCTGCTCTCCCAGGAGTGGTATACCTTCTAGTCCCTTCCAGTAACAGGCCTAGAGCCTGTCCTGCCCAAGCCCTCCTTGTGTAGCAGGTGATCCAAGCCACATCCCCAGCCTTCACTTCCCGGGAGGATTGGCTGCAGCACGGGATTCCTCTGGCTGTTGGGAGTTCTTACGTAGGATGTTTGTTGCAACACAATAATAGAACTGTCAACACTTTCGGAGCGTAAAACTCACAAAGCGAAAAATCATAAATTTGGTTTGAACATAAGAATGTTATTAATTGTAACCACTTATACATGAGCCATTTGCTTTTTAGGCCTGATTACTTTGGAAGATAAGCATATAATTAAATATATATGCAATTAGCCTTCTTGTAAATTGATTTGATTTGTAGTAATGAACTCTATTTATATCTGCTTACCTTTCACAACTTATTCATTTTGCATGAAACTGTTTACATCTTAAAAAAAAAGGAACTTGTGAGTACAGTCATGTAATATTTGAATTATTTGCTTATCTTGTTCTGTATTTCCCTGAAACCTGTTTTTTGTTTACCTCTTCCCAAACATATCTGATAATCAAAGAGACTAATGGGACACTTTTTGTAAATCTCTTTTCAGAAAAACTACAAGTCCAAAGTAGATTAAAGAAAAAAAGAGAACTGTTAGAGCTAATACAATCCATGATTATTTAAAGGAAAAATTGTTTTTTTCCCTCTGGTATCTAATCATTTCCAGATATTCAGGTACTGTAGTGACTCTTTACCTTTTAAGGAACACAGGCTAATTTGAGAATGAGATTGAAAACTGGACCCTCTATCCTGGGTAGTGTGCTTTGGGGCATAAACTGACCAATCTGACATATGAATTTCAGGAAGTGTCATAGTCCCAGAGAAGTCCTTGGTAGCCCAGGTTAAGGACTCTGCCCTAGGTGATGCTAACTTTTGAGAGTCAAGGCCAGCTTTTCAACCACTCATTTACTTAAATATTATGTGAGTCTTTCAAACTTAGTATATTTTTAAATGAACATTCTTCTGTGCTTTCCCATTCTCTCCCCAACACACACACACACACATACACACCCCTCCTAGATCATCTTTTATCGTTTGCTGCACTGATAGAAGCCATCTTTGTGGCTTCTCACACTAGAAACAGTTGAGTCATCCTCTACTGCCCTCTCACACATCCAGTCAGCCATTAAGACTTTAGTTTATTCAAAAAATGTGTCTTGAATCTGGTGCTCACATCTGTCTTCCTTATTCAACAAGCATCCAAGCTCCTGTTTTCTCCTTGAATCAGTTACCCTAATATCTTCTACCTGGCCTCCTGTCACCTTTTTTTTTTTTTTTTTTTTTTTTGGTGGGGGAGGTAGTTAGGTTTGCTTAATTGTTTTTAGAGGAGGTACTGGGGATTGAATCCAGGACCCTGTATATGCTAAGCATGCACTCTACACCTGAGCTGTACCCCCCCCTTTTTTTAACACTCACGTCAGAGTTATTCTAATAAGTCAGTTACAGCACTTACTATTAGATCATAATCATTTGTTTATATGTCTGCCTCTCTCATAGCTCATGAGCTTACCCACTGAGAGAGCCCAGGTCATAGTCATCTTTGTTTCTACAGGACTTAAGTTGCCCCTGGCATATCATAGGTACTCTGGAAATCATAGGTACTTGTATGAATGGATGTGTTCTTTGTAAGCTCGCTTTGGGATCTAGCCTATCATCCTAAGAAACCTCACGGTTGTATACCATACACATTGTTGGAAGAAAGGAAGGCAATCATGTTTGGAAATGAAAATACCAAATAAATAGAGTTTGGAGTATGTAATGTAGAAGCCAAAATTAAAAATAACTCTCTTCCTTCCCATTATTGTTGGTAACAATTAAAATGTGATTTCCTTTCCTTCCAGTATTGGCGTCAAGTGTACTTGATCACAGTGCTTGCAATGATCCTGGCAGTGTTCTTTGCGCAGATTCATCCCAGTTACCTCACACAGCAGTGGCAGAGGCTCCGTTCCATCATCTTTTGCTCTGTGTCCGGATATGGAGTGATCCCTACTCTTCACTGGGTTTGGCTCAATGGAGGAATCGGTGCTCCTATTGTACAGGTAGGTTCAGTGTGATCAATATTTTTCCCATTTTTTGGTCCTTTTCAATTTTATTCCTTTTGGTAAAGTAATAATGTAATCAATGCCAAGTGGGTGGTCTGTCATTTGAGAGCATATTTATAATTGCAGAATGATGCAATAATTTTCACATCATAGAAATAAACAAACACACCTTGCATGAATAGTAGTAGTCTACTGTTTTCTTCTGAGGTGTATTTCTCTGTGAAATGATCCTTTTGTTTTTTGAGATTTTATCAAATTTATTTTAACTTTTGTTTTTACATTACAAACATTTTTTTTAGTTGAAGTATAGTCAGTTCATAATGTGTCAATTTCTGGTGTACAGCATAATGTTTTAGTCATACATATACATTCATATATTCATTTTCATATTCTTTTTCATTATAGATTACTGCAAGATATTGAATATAGTTCCATGTGCTATACAGTATAAACTTATTGTTTAATTATTTTGTATATAATAGTATCCTCAAGTCCTGAACTCTGAATATCCCTTCCCACCCCCTTTCCCCACTCCCTGTAACCATAAGTTTATTTGCTATGTCTGTGAGTCTGTGTCTGTTTTATAAATAAGTTCATTTGTGTTTTTTTTTAATAGATTCTACGTTTTAAACATGTTTCGTGTGTATTTTTTTCTTTTTCTTTTTACTTGAAGAGCCTAGGTTTTTTTTAAGCTTTTTGTGATGGGGGGGGGTGATTTAGGTATGTTTGTTTTTAACAGAGGTACTGGGGATTGAACCTAGAACCTTGGGCATGCTAAGCCCATGCTCCACCACTGAGCTATATACCCTCCCTTTCTGAGATGTAGTTCTCTGTAAAATGATCCATTCTTAATTCTGTCTACAACCCTTAGTATGTAAATATCCAAGTCCTTACTGTAGAGGAGGACTCCCAAGTTTCCAGCTTTGTCAGCTGGGTCAGGGATAATGCCAGGGGATAACACAACTGTGAAAGTAAGAGCAGTTGATTCGTTTGTTTAGTTTGTGGAGGAGGAGGAATTGAATTGGGAAGGATTTCTTCTTGGACCTGTTGAGTTTGAGTTACCTGCGGGATGTAAAGCTGGAGATAGGGTCTGAATTTAGCTCAGAGTTTGAGACCAGTGATAGTGATTTGAAAATTTCTACTGTCTTGGTAGCTGAAGCCATGTGAGTATATTCCACCTAGCAAGGGAAATACATTGGGAAATGAAAGAAGCACTATTACGGTGAGGTACTACAGGGGGATATGGAGTACATTAGGAAGAACCTCAGTGAGAATTCTTCAGCATTCTTGAAAAGGGGATTAGAAGTAAGACTTAAGTCCTTAGAGATTCATATGATGATGCTTTAAGTGTGTGCTAGAGAGTAAACTTGAGAATTTTTAACATAAGTAATTATGCCAAGAAATCTAGCAGAAATCATATACACTTGTTATAGTGGGACTTTTGGGATATTGGAACTTAAAGGCAGGTTTTATTCAAAAGAACTATATTTTTTTAGAAAAGGAGGGACTAATAGTATGCTTACATATTACTTGCATCAAGTTGGCAACAACTTGGTAGAAAACATTTGCATATAAGAAGAGACTGCGATGGTGAGTTGAGTGACTTGATCTGGCTGCACTGCCAACTTGAGGACAAGGGTGATGCTTTTGTCATAAGATTAGGAAACTGGGAGAAAGGTGAGGTAGTAGTGATGAGTAACTTCAGTGATCCTGTGAAAACATCATTTTTATGACAGTTTTGATGCCCTTAGAATAAGTAAGAAAATAGAATGGGGAACTGCCACTCTAGATTTAATCCTAACCAGAAATGAATTATTGACATAGAAGTGAAAGAAATTTGGGGATGAGATAAACACATCCTTTTAAGATTATAATGACAAAAAAAGAGAACCTGATCCTTTAAGCCAGTAGATTTTAGAGAAATTAAGGGGAAAGGGAGGAATTTTGTATTCAGAAGTCATAAAATAGAAATATGTCTTAGGAAGACAGTGACCCTCTAAGACGGAAATCTAATATTATCACAGGTTATTCCAGTGCAGAAGCAAAGGGACACTTTCAGAGAAGTTCTCCAATAAGCTCTAATTTTAAGAAGATAGAGAGAGAGGCACTTAAACAAAGATAAGATGTTCCAAAGAGCTAATCTTGGGAGGTAGGGTGGAGTTGTGCTCTAGAAATTTTGAGAAATCTGAGGTTAATTAGCCTGAGAATGTAGGATTTGGGGCAAGGGACCCATATAATTCTCAAATATTTGTAGAGGGAAGAGAAGTAATTTGTCTTTATTAAATGGCTTCTTATAAATTAGATTTATAACGGAATTAGGAACAATGTGTATAAATCACAGCTGGCTGATTTTCTTAGGGCAGGTAAAAGCTTTCCAAGATTGCTGTGAGATGGCCTGCTTCATATAGTTAGTGTTTAAGAGAACCATTTGTTTGGGATGGTGGAACAGATGTCATTGTTGAGCTGAGTCTCTTGGGTCCTCTCCAGCCATAAATTCTTCTTTAGTCTCTTTGCTTCTTCAGCTGGTAAGTCCATCCCCTATGTCTTCCATCCCTGCACCTGTGTTGTAGGTGGCGCTGGGTGCCCCGCAGAGCTCCACATGCTGAAGCTCCAGCTGCTCCAGTGCCCTGACCTCTAGGGCACTCTCTCCGCCCCACGATGGTGCACTGCTCCCTGCGGTCTTGACCGCAAGGTTTCTATCGTTAGAGACTATCTACAAAAGCAATTCAGATTTAATACTTAAATCCCACCTATGAATTCTGATTTTAATTTGATGAAGTGATTAGGTTTGTAATGAACTGGGAATTCACAGTAGGGAGATCAGTAAAAAAATACGTTTTGCTTTTCAGGACTTCGCACCGCGTGTGATTGTGATGTATGTGATTGCTCTTCTTGCTTTCCTATTCTACATTTCCAAAGTTCCAGAAAGGTACTTTCCAGGTAGGTGTCACTTTTATAGTGATTCTGAACTTTATTCTGAATATATGGTGGAGGTATATGCTTCAGATCATCAAAACTTATTTTTTTTCAATATTATTGATTTTAGAATGGCTCTTCTACTCTCAAGTGTTATCTTAAACTTTTAACTTTCAAATGGCTTTCACAAACTTTTTCTTTCACTGCCACAGTATGAGTCCAATAGATAAGGTTCCCACCATTTCATGATTACGAACTTGTGACAAAGCTGGGAGTCTCCCGACTCCCAGCCATGGCTTTTTTATGGAGTATTGGTTAGCAATTACCATTTACTTCCTTGTATACCAACTTTTGCATAAAATTAATTTATATATGCAGAGACCCATAAAATAAACAAGAGACAAGGAAAGTAAGAGGATATTGAAAAGGAGCCAGGTTTAGGATCACCTCACACTGTATCTGTCCTAAGTTTCTGTGAAATAGACAGAGCTCACCAATCTGGCTTTCAGCTTCCTGGCACCCAGTGCTAAGAGGAAAATAATGTAAGTTAAGGGTCCTCATGTCACCCAGATAAACACAAGTGAGTAACTTAAGGACAGATTTCCTTGCTTCTTCAGTCCAGAGGGGAAAAAAAAAATCTTCTGATGGAAAAAAACTAAGAGGGCACTGGGTAGAGTGAATAATGTTCTCCAAAACATGTATCTGCTCTGTTAGGAGCTTCAGCCCTGGAGCCGGACAGCTTGGGTTCCAGTCCCCCGCCACCCCCTACCAGCTGCATGGGCTGAACAAGTTACGTAAGCCTTCTCGGCCCAGTCTCCTCATCTGAAACATGTGATACTCCTTTTCTCTCAAGGGGTTATTGCGAGGATTAGATGAGAAAAGGCACATGAAACACTGACTTCCTCACAAGTGGTAAGCACTCTGTAAATCTTAGCAGTTGTTACCATGATACCCCTTAGCCCCAGATTCATAAGTGAAACACGCGGCTTAGTAAGGGACAGAGTGACGGAAGTCCAGGTGAGCTTTGGCTCGAGTCCAGAATCACACGAGACATACAGCAGTGGTCTTTCAGTTTCAGGCCAGAAGTAGGGGAGCAGTTTAAATTCAAATTGCAATTGTCCCCCCTTCCTCCTGGGGTAAGAATCTCCTACAGTGAGTCGAAGAGAGGGTTATGGCACTTGTCACGTGTGTTGGGGAGGAAGAAAGTATGAGAAACCTTTACTAGAGAATGAGTAGACCACGGGCATTCCTCTGTGCACTTGATTTTTCACCACCGAGTTTTAAATAAGAATGAAATACAAAGAAGAACCTGAGTGTAAACGTTAGGCTTCAGGAACGTAACTAGGACATGTCCCTGAATTTAAGACCACCCATCCTCCAAGCAGGGTCAGAATTTCCCTCAGAAAACAGTTCTGGTAAAATACATTTTTGTATCACTTTATTAATTATTAATGTCTTCTTCATAGATGTAGAAATAAGAAATAGAAAATTAAGCAGTTGAAGTTCTCTGCATTACGCAGTTATGGCCATAGTGTTTTTAGGCCTTAAATTCAGATCAAAACTTCCCAGTTGTCTAATATAGGACACCTATAAAAGGTCAAATGTTATGTAACTTAACTTTTCTCAAGGTGAACTTGACATAAAACGTGCTCCACGTAGCTGAACGTGTGGAAGTATAGGTACATTTAAGCAATGGAGATACAGAGACCATAAATTGAAATCTCAGATGTTCATGAATGAATGGCTTAGAAACCTTGTCTGGCCAGTCCTCATTTATTACCTGGTCCTAAAGAGAAACATGTGTAGTGGTGGTGGAATGGTGGACGAATACTGTGAAATCAGAAAACTTCAACTTCATCTCAGGTTAACTTCTTAAAAATATATAAACATCACAATGGTGTTTGATGGGTTCAAGGATCCCCAGAATGTCCATGGACAGAATTTATTGGCTCTGTAATACTTGTTATTACAATTAATCAGTTTTCTTTATAATTCTCAGTATTGTATGCTTTTAAAAATGAGTCTGTGAGCTTCACTAGGCTGGCAGAGGGTTCCATGGCACCAAAAAAATTGGAAGAACCTCCACAGAAAGGATTCTATTGACTTAAAAATCTCCATACTGTACTGATTATTATTCTTGGCAAGAAAAGACAGTGATGGTTAGAGACTATTTACATTACATAATGTAGAAGCACCATGAGTAAGAAAAAGTTATTTACAATTAAATTTCTATAGCTCTGTATTTTGTTATTTATTTACTTTGTCATTTTTCAAGACGCTTCCCACGTTAGTTATTTACTCTCCTTGGAATTTAAACTTTAACTACAAAGAGAAATGAAGTAGTTATCCTAAGTTGTATGTGAATTAATCAGTCTTAGCTAATTAACCCATTACTAATTACAGTTTGCCAATTATTCCATTAGTCTGATATCACAAGATTTGGGTTTGAGCTTTCTCTCTACACACCTGCTTAAAATACAAAGTGCTTCCAGCAGACTTACACCCAAACACAGCAGTGTATCTGCTTCATACCTGACCAATTTACAGCACTAATTTCCTTTGTTTCTCTCATGTGATGTCTTTTCTTCACCAGGTATATAAGTTGAGACGTGGGAGACAAAAGGTCAAATTCCTGAAATTAACCCAGTCTTGATTTTGAAAAGACATTTGGAATAATATTTCAGAAATTCACCAGGATACTTTATGAGTAAAACCTTAAAGTCAGACTCAAGTACAGTCTTTTTTTTTAGAAAACATTTGGGTAAGAATTAATCTCCAGTCAGTCTCCAGGTGCTCTGAGATGGCCAAAGTCTCTTTGCTGCTGAGACGTATTTCCAAAGCCACAGATGGTAATATATTTTTATTTTAATATCAAAATATTACAACCAATATTCTTTTCTCTCTACCTTCCCTTCCAGGACAACTAAACTACCTCGGGTCAAGCCACCAAATATGGCACATCCTTGCAGTAGTGATGTTATATTGGTGGCACCAGTCCACAGTGTACGTCATGCAGTACAGACATAGCGAGCCCTGTCCTGACTATGTTTCACATTTGTGAACTCAGGTATGGCCGCCTGATGTATTCACTTGTAAGCAATATATAACGGGGAGTTGTATGCCCCACTATTTCTAAGATTCCCACGGGTTTTTCCTCTTCCCTCTGGTTTAATACATCATGAGTAATACTTTATAAAAATGGGAAAATATACTTGGGGATCTGTAATAGTCACTGCTTCATGGGCCCTTAAAACTACTAATTCGCTGCTTGTACAGAAAGTGAAAAGTAGTTGGCATTTGTAAGAAACATCTGAATAACAATGGATGTGAAGCCAGTGTAGAAGTAGTACTCGTTTTACTGAACACCAGCTTAATTTCCTTAGGAAGGGCTCACCTCCATTAGAAAATGGAGCCATCCTGTGTGATTGCTGTAATAGTAGGTATTTACAGTCGACGATCAAGTTTAAGTGCCTAATCAAGGCAAGGGTTGCGACAGCCTGTGCTTAGCACAAGCTGATGTGATTTTGAGTAATCACTAGCCTTTAAATTGATGGTTTGTGAGAATCCGGCACTTAAGATATCATTTCCTTCAGCTGTAGGTTCTCCTCTCCCTAGAGACATTGGATTTTTCAGTTTGCTAGAACAAAAACTTTAGACCTCTTCTCCTTTAAGTTGAGAGAGGCATGAGAAGAGGAAGAGAACTTGCATTGTCATTTCCCATCAGGTAAAAATCATATTAAAAACTGCTTACATGACCAGGTGACAAATTCTGTGGTCTAATAACCAAGTTATTAGCCATTTAAGCTTCTCAATTTCAAGTAATATTATTTAATTCCATGTAATAATTGAACTCTTGCCAGTGGATGGCAGATTTGGGGTTCCAAAATTCCTGTGGCAGAACAGTTTTCACCTGAGTTCACAGTCTTAAATGTCCTGATGATGGGGGTTCCCAGCCACATGGGTGCTACTTTCAAGGCCATAGAATCCGGAGGGCTCAGTTCTCGACCCCAGAATGAACCTTAAGCCTTAGAACAAAGTCATGTAGACGCCCCATTTGATGACATGATTATTCACCTGTGCTCCAGTCTGTCCCTGTTTATGCATGTGTTATTGTACTGGTAACTCACAGAATTGATATATACTATCTAGTATTTGGGCCTGAGACTTTAAATTTGCTCTTTATTGTATATACTTGAAAAATAGATCCCTCTGCCCTATCATACAACATAGTGCTCCTATTCTCTGGTCTTTTCATTTGTGTAAGTTAAATCCCTTAAAGCAGCCATTCATAAAAACATGTCATTTACTGGAATATAAAATATTACCCAAGTTTCTTAATGGGTTGACATGAGCTGCTCTAAATACTGGTATATCTTCAGACCAATGGAAGTTGTGAAAATCAGGAGGTGTGACCGATGGTGAAGCTTACTCCCCAAATGCCATTTGTACATCTGGTATTTAGAATGTTTCTTTAATGTGCCTCAGTTTATGCATCTGTAAAATTCTGTATTTCTTTTCAGTGTAGTGTTTTTGGAGTATAAGTTCCCCACACTAGTATTTCAGCAAGGAGAATACCCCCCTTAGGAGGCTAAGGGCGCACCATATTGCACCCATTATTATGATGGGACACCACTTTGAAAATGGCCTTTTTACCTCATAAGGCCAGAAATTTGATTCATATTCTAAGTGAGGGAAGGTTTTGGTGAAATGATACTAGGATATATTTTCCCTAAAACATACCTTATTGGCATATATAATATTATTGCTTTTAAATAGAAATTTTGTCATTTTGGCCAAATAAAATACACCTGAGTAGTTATAATTAATTTAAAAGTGAAGGAGACATCTAGTTATTTTAGGCCTGGCACCATTTTTATTATATATCTTCTCAAAATCAAAACATAGTGAACCTTAATTTTCATGTTCTTTTAATTGTTACTCTATTTTTTATTATAGTGTATGAAGTATTTCATACTTGCCATCTGACTTAATAGATAAAAAGACCATACTTTAAGACTTTTTTGAATTTAAAAAGCATACAGGTCTTACTGTAGAGAGAATTAAATTATACCATGTAAACATTTTGTCTTTTTATGAAAATATTAAATATTGTAAGAAAGCTCTCTCATTTTTATCTTTACTATGATGTACTTATTATTAAGCAGGGAGTGAATGAATGTGGGTTGCTGTCAGCTATAACCACTTCTGTGTATCAGCATTTATTGACCACCTACTGTGTGCACATCACTACTGGCAAAATTTTTAAGGCATTGTTAACATTAAAGAATAACTATTTAAAAATTGCCTATGAATCTGAGCCTTATAATAATGTATATTTAAGTTATTTGTTTTTATTATAGATTTATTAAAATAAGATTAAAAGTACACTATTCAGCTGCAGTACTAAAAAAGACTGGTTTTAATTTTACCACTGTGTAAACTATAAAAGCTCTTTACCTACAGACTTTACAAGGACATTTTAAAATTATCCATGGCTGTTTTAAATTGCCTATAGTGATTTATAAGTTTGTAGTTAACTCATTAAAGAGAATTATCTTTCTATATAAAACCATTTTCAAATAGCAAGATAGTGCTTGTCTTTTTTGTTACTACAGAGTGCAATTCAGTAAGCTGCATGGCAAAATGTGTATTATGTAAATAAACTGGGTTTACTAAATATATTAAGTGCTGCTTGTCATTCTTTATAATATAACAGCTTCAAAATCATATTTTAGAATCAGGAATGAAGATTCAGGGAATATGTGTCACTTCTTATGGCATCCCACCCGGACAGAATAACCGATTTGAAGATTGTGATTGCCTGGCATAAAGCTGTACAACTCTCCATTTGGCAGGTACCTACCTAGAGATACCCTTTGCCCTGCATTAAACGTCAAGGGGCAAAGCCCACACTTCTGGGTTCCTGCCACGTGCTGAGCTGAGTAGGTCGGTATTCACTTGTAATCATCATTCTGGGTAACTTCACCCCTGCCGAAGTGCGTGCAGTGAAAAATCAGCTCAGCTGTTACAGGCAGGAGTGTCTTTCACGTGGATTATCACAGTATTCGTGTCTATACTGAAGAGAGGTTCAGATGCTGCTGTGTACCAACGTCCCCTGAAATTCTGCACCAGACGACTTCCTGAATAGGAGAATGAAAGTGATCCAAATCCGAACCTACCTTTGAGAAAACATGTTCGCAAGGGAGAGAGAGTTATGGTGGGGGTCTCTCGTGAAAAGTTACTGTTCCGTCCTTAGCGGGCGGGGATGTTAGCCGCCAAGGTTCTGGTCTTGCTCTCTAAACCTGGGATCAGAAACACTACGGAACATACATGTAAATCAGTAGTGCCCACAATCTGGAGCAAAAGTGAACTATCTTTAAATGTGCAACATATAAAACCTCAGAAGCTCATGCCTTCAGTATGAGAATATTAACTACATCTTACCTATGACGCTAGGGCGGGGCTTATTTTAAAAGGGATTCGCTATTCAAAATAAACGGCTGCCACTGCAGCATAGCTTCTTCTCTAAAGAAGGTAACTGTAACTGAGTGTGAAAAGTGGTATATGCCACACTCTTCTCTTTTTATGGAGCTTTTCAGCTTTTCTCGTTCGTGATATTTTGCTCCTTTGTACCGTTTATTAAAAAGAAACAAAGCCCTTATTTTTCCACATAATTTTAGATAAATGTTACTCCTTCTGAAAAAAAAAGTTCATTCACAGCAAATAAACTGAATCTTGCCACAAGTCACCAAGCTTCAACTCCAGTTTGTGAAATAATACATAACATAATATTGCAATCTTGATACCAAATGCAGTAAATAGGTTTTCTCTTTAATATACCAAAGCCTCCTTTCTGATATAATCAAGGATTGCAATACATTGCTTAATCAAACAGTTTTCAAGTTAAATATGTTACCAGTTTCAAAATAGTGTAAAAAAATAAATTACGTATAATGTAAACACTATGCCAAACATTCAAAAACTACTTCAAAGTCTTACGTTTTTACCCTACCTTCATCATTGTACGTATCAGTAATTATAGTGCCTGAGCAAGTTGTGCTGTTGTTTTTGCTGAACAAATACTGAGTCGAAATGTGTTTCCGTCCTTAAACCCAAGACTGAGCTCCTTAGAGATCTAATCCACTTCATTTTTCTGTTCTGTTAGCTAGTACATAATAGGTGCTTAATGTTTGTGGTACAAAAGGAAGAACTGACTAGAAGTTTACAACCAAAACTTTCAATAAGAAGACAAATAATGAGACTCCAGAAGTCAACGATTATAAAGAATATGCAATCCATTTGGGATTTATTGCATTTAAAGGAAGCAGACTATTAAAAACAGTAGGTATGATAAATACAGTAAGAAAATAACTTTAAATTTCAAACAAAACAAAGTGAATGAGGGACAGAATTCAGTCAATAAGAATAAGCAATGTAAAGGCAACATACTAGTAAAATCAGTTAGTGCTTAATTAGATACAGGACAAAAAAAAACAAAAACTTGTTCTATGTCATAACAGTTTCCTAACAGCTATATCTGAGGATTGAAATTAGCTTTAGAAAGTATGTTTTTAACAATTAGAAATATAATAAAGATGTAAATCAGGTTTATTAAAAGTTAAAGTTCTTTGCTTAGTGGTACATAAAAGGCTTCAGAAAATTCAAGTTTAACAAAAAATGGAAGTGTAATCAAAGAAAGTGCACTTAAAGCTGTTTGCCAGCAATTAAAAAGTAGCTTACTGTTACTAGACTGCTTACTATTCAACGACTTTTCAATCACAAAAAGAACGTAGTAATAAAAACAATTCTCTTTCAAAAGGAGCACAATAAATTTTTAAATAAAAATAACCCCAAATGGTGGCCCTTTGCATTTTCATCTGCCTACCTTATTCTTTTAGTGGCTTTTGTCAACCCTCACTAGGAGTGAATGTTCTTTTAGTAATGATTGTGGTTGCAATTCCATTTAAAATTTAAAAATTCACATTAATTCCACGGTAGAGAGATGTGCTGTGTGCATGCATGCGTGTTTATACATTTATCTTAATATATAAACACCACTGTGTATAAGTTTTCAAATAAACTATCACGTTATTCTCACAGTAGATATGTCATCTCATTCTCACAGTAGATCTATCAGCTCGATATTGGACCTAAAATGATAAGTAATTGTGCTAAAAAAAAAAGACAAAGGACAAGAAAAAGCTTACTGCACATTCTACATAAAAACAAATGTACCCCAAATCCTCAGACCCAGTGATATTAATACACATGTACCTTCTAGCAATGCTGACATGAAGTACCAAATCGTAAAATAAACCAAGCAGAGAAGAAGCTGAAGAGCGGGGAAACGACTCCTGCTGCTCGCCAGCCTGGAGGCGTGGGCTCCACCTCAGTATTTCCCACCAGCAAGACGAGGACAAAACAGTCTGTCACTGTCAGGCAATAATCAGGGTAGGATCAAAAGCTGTGTCTATCTACAGTTCCAAATAATGTCATAACTGTGCCCGGGGACACACACACACAGGGAGGGGTGAGGTGTGTCAGTGGAAGAATTACACTCTTTCCCAATGGATACTTCTCAATAAATATTCTAGTTAGTTAAACCTTCATCCAGCCTGTCACCTTTCCTCCTCCACCTAATATACATACCAAGCAACTTTTGTGTGTTAGCACATACATTCCTCAATGCCATAGAAGCTGATCTTTTTAACACTAACATTTTGCTGAAGTGATAATATTAAAATAATTAAGCAAGTGGTCCACTTTTTAAAAGATGATTTAAAAACCAACAGGCATTCTTAAAGCTGTTAGGACAGAAATAACTTTGGCCTCAGACTTTTGCTAGCTTCATAATACTTTACTTCCCTTAGTGATGTTCAAGTATTGCAGGTTTAGAGTTATGACTACTTTACATGCTAAAGAAGCTCAGAGGACACCTGATTAATAGAAACATAATTTCTTTTCAACTTTCCTTCCTTGAATAAGAATTGGACCACCCCAAAATAGAGCCAAACCTTTACTGAGGGCTGTGTGCGAGTACATGTTAAGCTCCTTCATATATGACTTGGGAGCTTTGTTCTCATAATTCTCATAAGGGAATTACCTGGGCATCAGCTGTGTGGAGTGACCTCCATCCTAACAGAAGTAGGAGAGAACATGATGGGGAATGAAAAGCAACCCTAATTCTCTACTCCTTGGGAAAATGCCTCTACTTCAATAGAAAGGAATCTCCCCATTTCTATCCCATTGGGTCCCCTAGTAAGTTCTAAATGTTTTCTCTGAGCTATAATCTCAAAAGGAAAGTCACTGGGGTGTGATATAATAAACTTAAGAATGTAAATATTTTAAACTATGTCAGAGTGTTTCCTTAGAATTATCCAGCATTATAAGCCAAAGTGTCTATCAGTGTCTACATCATTTAAAATTATTCAGTGTATTAAGAAACAAGTGTAAGCAAGGCCTTGGTATCAGATGGACTCTAGGTGTTTCGTGTTTACATCCCAAAGAGACCCCTTCTAAATTATGAAACTCATGAGGTCTAGCAGAGACCAAGGCTAAGTAAAATAGCCAAAGAAGCATACTGGGTATACATTAACCAACGGATTTTTGCTTTTAAAAAATTGTTTGATACAAACCTACTGTAGTTCATGAATTTACTATGTGTAATCATCAACTTCACTTTTAAAAGAAAGTTATCACTTGAATCTACTTTGTAAAGTTTTAAAGAAGATCTACTTGAGCATTTGCATTAGCAGGATTAATCAACCTGAGAATCAGAAAAAAAAAAAAGGTGCAAACATAATATTTGCCTTTGGCACAAGGACAAGTAACTGGTGCAGTCGGGCTCGAAAAGTACAACTTTACGCAGTAATGACATGCCTGGTCTGCCTCTGCTACGCTGTGATTCACATATTGCTTCCCCGTTTGTCTACAAATGTCTATCTGATTTAAAACATAAAAGAGAAAAGAGAAGTGATAAAAAAAAAAAGATACGGTTTAGTTACATATACTTTGCTGCTTTCCAAGTGTAGATCTGTGGAAACAGGCAAATAGCTCATCCCAATTGGGGCATTATAATTAAGAGAGTCTAATAAGGTTACGCATAAAATACATTTTAATTGGGCTCAAAGAGAGTTAATTTAAAATAGAGCAATCAAAGAGAATGCCAGTTGATAATAGTTTCCACTCCTTTTTGTAAATAGCTTTAAGGGTTCTAGTAACTTCTAAATGTTAATTTGATAAGGAAGGACAGTAAATTATAACTTAAAATGGAGACACAGGAAGCACAGATACCATATTCACATTAATTCATATATGTCATTTCTATCTTATTAAACAATTTCTATAAAATCTCAAGTTTCTAATTAGGATTTGTGATGTAAAAAAAAAGGCAATTTGGTAGCTGGGTTCTTTTCGCTAAAGACAATCAACTAACTAGCAGAGTTCAGATGCTAGTCGCTCATCACCTGCCACCTACAGCCACTCTGAGATCTTGTGTTAGTGCAGAGGTACTTGCAGCAGGATGTGCGAGTCCCGCCAATAAGGCTTTGTGGGTTCCACTGTTCTGTGCACTTTATTAAAACTACTCTACCCTCCAGACCGAACTAAAAAATTGCTGCTCATGACTTGGGGACTAGTTGGTGAAGGTGGTAATTTAATAAAGTACATTAGTAAATGCAACATGATTTTACACTGTAAACGTCTCACAAACTCAGGGTTTCAGCTACATATTTTTTCCTAAAAGAAAATTTCTATATAACCCTTGTCCTCACTCCCAGTTTTTCCAATATTCTGCTTTCTTAGACATGATAAAGTTTTGAGCAAGAAGCCATTATTCAAAACACAGAACACAAAGTGTTCCTTAAGTACTGAGTGTTTTTTTCTTTTATGTTTTTCCACAGGTCAGATATTTCTGTTTATTTTCTAGGCTTCCACATAGATATTCCGTATTAATGGCACTTTTTTTTTTTTAATGAAACAGTTTTAGGCACAACAGTCAGTGACTTCTGGCTCTGCTTTGTAGAGAAAGGTGTAAGGACTGCATTCTCCAGATTATAATTTTCTCATTCTTCATGAGAACTTGATTTTTGTTTTGCGTCTTTTACCATGTGGCAATTAGAAGAGACCTTAAAAAAAAAAAGTCCACAAATGCAGCTTGTGTATGTACAAATTACCTTGGTTTTAAATGCTGGATTCTGGAATGAGCCTGGGACATGCACACAAATGTGACACTCAGTTAGAAAAAGAATGTCACAGCCGTCCAGTCCCAGCCTTTCAGGGGCTGCCCGACTGGAAAGGGGCCATGCTTTCCCCGGATTTGCGTGCTGTCCCGTCAGTAGCTGAAACCCTGGGTTAGGCTTTGCCATTTCGCTCCCTTTGCTCCTGCGTGGGAGGGACATGGAGTCGCGACCCTGTGCAGACCCTTCCTTTTTCTATTTGGTTTATTTAAAAATCACCTATTCTGATTGATCTATAAGAATGGATGGTATAAAGAGCTATACAAATAAATTTTCTTTCAAATTCATAAAACTATGCCTACTCTTTTTTTGGAAACAGGAGTTAATACCAAGAGTCTGTCGGAAGTCTCTACTGTTTAGAAGGAAACGGAGCAGCACCGAACGGGTCCAGTTCAACTGGCTGGGGCTGTTGGGACTGATGTGGAGGGATGCTCTGCACCACGAGTTCTGTGAAGGGCACGGCCCCAAAATCATCCATTTTCAATGCCTCGGCCCCGTGGAAGGCCCCATGCAGTGAATTTGGCCTGGGCCGCCCGGGCAGGACGGGGTTGTCGCTCCGGCCCTGGTGAGGGGGGTGCCATGGCAGGTCTGGGGGGTGGAAGGGCTTGGCCCCGAAGGGGTCCAGCAGACTCTCCTCGGGCTGCAGGCCGTGCCCTCTGTCCTTGCCATCCGTCAGAGCGACGCTGATGTTCTCCTTGGAGTCCGAGATGGTCAGGAACTCGTTGCTGCTCTGGGAGTCCCGGCGGCCCACCCGGCGGTGCCGGCGGGCCCTCTCCGGGGTGCGGTAGGCGGGCTTGGCCGTCTTCTTGGCGCCCGTCGGGGTGCCGTGATGCCGCTTCCCGTTGCTCTTGGCCACCTCCGGCTTCGTGCGCCTCTGGCGGGAGGACAGTTTCTGTAAACTCCGCTGTTTGACTTTTGGCTGCTGACTCCCAGTTATTTCCTCAAAGGGCACCAGCCCAAAAAGGTCCTCGTGGCTGTCGCTTCTGCTCGTGGCCGTGGAGAAGGGCTGGAATGGAGTCGACCCAAAGATATCGACACTCTGGGGACAGGCGGGGACGGTCACCTTCCTGCTGAAAGGCGCCTTGGTGAAGACATCAAACTCCTCCGGCTCGAGTCCCCCTGCAGGAAGCCGGGGCCCAGGGGAGAGGTCCTTCCCCTGGCCGCCCTGTGGGGGCTGTTGCGCACGCGCTGCAAAGAAGGGGACAGCGCCAAATACATCAAACTCGGGCTTGGGAGCCTCGGCTCTAGCATCCGAGGGGAACTGGGCTGGCGCGAGGAGTGTTACACCAGAATCTGGGAGCGGGCCGCTGCCAGACCCGTCTCTGTAGCGGGGGCTCAAGTCGCTGTACTTGGCTTTGGCCTGCTCATAATCAGAATCCGAGCTGTGCTTCTCTTCCTCCTCCTCATCTTCTGAATCCATGAGGAGAGGCCTGTGACCCAGATTTTCCGGTTCAGTATCATCATCGTTAAAATCTCCTTGTTCTCCCTGGAGAACTTCTTCATCATCTTGCTCCTCCTCTTCACTGCTCTTAGGAGAAGGGGGGTCTGATTCAAAATCACTTTCAGATTCATCATTCGCCTTTGGCACCTGACCGTGTACTGACAAATTATCTGAGGTTTTCTTTCCAGTCCGGTGGTCTTTAGGTACTGGGCTTGCTTTTCTATTCTTGATGGCGTTTGCAGTGCTGTTTTCCTGATTCCTGGATATATGTTCAATTTTCTTTTCAGGAGAACCTGAAGAGTCAAAGCAAAATGATTATATCATTCCAGTGCATTTCAAAAACCATTTGCCAGTAAACAGTATGTACTGACACAGAGCATTACAGAGCACGCATAGCAGTTCCCTTGGAGGAAGACATATTGGTAGCTCTTTGTCCTTAGGCTTAGGGACTGCACTTGGCCACAAGTCGATGAACAGGTCCTTCAGAGAAGACAGACTTACTTGTCTCTGTACCCCACACATCACCTACTCATAACAGACCCTCACTGACAGCTGTCTGATTTATAGCGTCCAGAACAGGACTCTGAATATAATACACAAGCAAGTTTTCTCCCCCATTTCAAAATAAGATTATCCAGCCAAATGCCCTGCTCAGATTCCATGCTTACCTAATAATCTTCTCTTTGTATTTCAACTCTGTTATAAAGTTTTCCTACAGAGATCAACAAGCATGAATAGCTTATCTGCTTAGCTATATGTTTCACTGTAATTTTTAAAATTGGCATTTGGGTTTTTGTTTTTGTTTTTTTGTAAACAAGTGTCTTATGAGTTGGGTTAGCATGAGTGTATCCCCAGAGCCTGATCAAAGCTAAGGACCAGGTCCTGAACTGAGGCCATACCAAGGACATCTGCCTTCCCCAGATGACACCTCTTCCCTTAACCATCACACACTACTATATGTTACATTAAAAGCACACTCCTCTTAAAAAAACAAAACAAAAATAAAACCCTCAACTGTCGGTATGTTGACTGTATGATAGGTAATAAAATTCCATCAAACAAATACAGTGCTTTGCAATTTCATTTTTGGGTATGTAGATAGCATATTTACATGAAAATATAATGCTCTCTCAATACATTGGTGTATTACATCGATTTTCCAGAGGTAGGGAACAATCTGAATTGATCCAACCACATATCCATTCATCCCTTCTCCTCCTGTAAGATCAGATATTTTCAAAACACTTAGCTAGGATTGGAAGTACAGTCTTTAGTCATGGAAACTAATTAGCTTATGATGGAAGGACCATTGCTTTCCCATGATTAACACAGTGGTCCCTATGGCATAGGGCACCTCTGAGTGATTTCCTTCCCTTTCAAAGTCAGCACCGTTGTCCTCTCACCTCTGACCATTCCCTCTTGGTCATATTTGTAGAGACTTCTCTTTCACTAACATTTTAAACATGTGTGTTCCCCAGGGTTCTGTCCTTGGCTGTTTCTCTCTCTCTGCGTGCCCCTCCCTGGGTCCTAACCACTTGTGTGTTAATTGCCATTTACACCGTAATGACTGGATCTCTAATATATAACCTTAAATACTCATCTGCCCTATTCATCTAATACTTATCATGAATATGTATATCCTACCATTACTTCCAGCTCAGTGATTTCAAAAGAGATCTTTCCTCCTAAAATGTGCTCCCCACCAGTTCCCTCTAAATTCGTGAACACTTTCATCTACCAAGTTATGGAAACTAGCAGAAATCTGGAAATCATCTTCCCTCTTCCTACCAAACAGTTAAGTATTTTTAGTCTCTGGAAGCCGTTCCCTCCTGTCCCTCTGCTGGCTGTCGATTTCATTCCCTCCTTATCCTCATCTAGCAGCTCTTCAGCTGCTGAACTCAGCTGTCTGCCTCCAGTCCCATGTCCCGCAAACCGCCCCTCTATGCTGCCACCAGAATGACTTCTGAAACACTCATCACATGGCTACTGCTGAAAACCTTTCAGCGTCTCTCTGAAGTCCCAACCCTCAGCCCAGCCCGGGGGCCCTTCTATGGATTCTGTCCTGCAACATCCTTGGCCTCAAACTCTGCTGTCTCCCCCAGGTATTTGTCATTATAGCCACACCTGAACTCTCCCTGCTCAAACTCAGGCACAGCACTGATTTGGATAAAGGTTTTTTTTTTTTTTTTTGAGCTCTCTTGCTATCTAAGCCCTTAAGGTTTGCTATCAGAAACAGGAAACTAATCAATTCAGGCAGCAAGGAGCACTTCGCTGTTTTAACCTCTCGCTGCCGTTGTAACACGGGACCGCAGTCCGCAGTCCTTCCAGCACTCCCACTCCCACTGACTTGCCAAGTGTGCTCGGCTGTATTTCAAGACCCAGCCCATGTCACAGCCCTTCGGAGGCACCCCTCAAAAACTACCCATATATGGTGCCCCTGATGAACCTGGTACAAGCCTTAACTGTAGCTTCACCGTATGACAATTATTTGCTTACTTGTCTGTTTTCCCTACTCGATTATGAGCTCGAGACACAGGCCTATTTATCATTTACCTCGTGTATCAATCATTTCTACCCTCGCACTGTGCTCAATCTTTGTTGAATAAAACAGTGACTACTCTGAGCGCCCAGCTGTGGCTACACACACACCAGTACATTCAGAACACAATCAAGTTACATAGAAAAAGAAACCCTTTACATCTGGAGACGTCTTCAGCTCAGAATTCAGCCACTCACATTTTCTCGATTCAACAGAACATTTCTCAGGGCACTTTTCTACATGCTGTCCCCTGGGCATACGTTGGTGAATAAAATAAACATGGTCTCTGCCTTCAGCAGTTCAGAGAGCCTGAGTAAACGTAAGCTGTGACTGGCGCTCTGAGGTAACAGAGCAGAGGTGCAAGTCGCGGGGCAGCGGGCAGGGGTGCGTGACACCGCTCTGGACGGTCAGCCGAGGCCTCCCTGAGGCGGCGAGAGTCTGGGCAGCTACATGAGAAGGAGCTGGCCGTGCAAAGGACAGACAGACGGCTGCTCCAAGTGGAAGCCACGGCATGTGTGAGGACCAAGTCAAGAAAGAGGCTGGCATGCTTGAGGGACTGAAAGTAGGCCCGTGTGCTTAGAGCACAGGGAGCAAGGGGAACACTGGACCAGATGAGGCAGGAAAGGGAGGGGTAACTAGCAGATGGTGAAGGTCTCGTTAAGGCCATGATAAGAAGTTTGGATTTCGTTCTAAATTCAGTGTGCAGTGTGGAGCTGGGGCAAGGCTTTATTCAAAATGTTATGACTACTTAAATTGTCATGATCAAATTTACATTTCAAAAAGATAACTGACTGCTATGTAGGAAAATACGAGGAGGCTGCAAAAGTGGGGAGATCAGGGAAGAGGAAATTGTAGTAACTCAAGTTAAAATTGTGGTGGTCTGGACGACGCTGCAGCAGGGAAAACAGAAGTGGCAGAATTAGAGATTGGAGAGGAAAACTGGATGGATGTACTGCCATTAACACGTAAAGACAGTAAAGGGTGAGTAAAGAATATGTTGGGAAGTAAAGGAGATTATCAAGAATTCGGTTTTGGACACAAAGTTTGAGGCATCCGTGAGACATTTAAGCGCAAGCATCTGTGTCTTGAGCACAATGGCTAGATCTTGGCTGGAGAAAACAGATTTGGGGGTCACCAGTATGCAGAGGGTATGTCGAGAGAAGCACAAGTCTGAAGGAAATCCCTGAGAAGGAGAGGACAGAAGAGGAAAAGGTGATCCAATGCTGAGCCCCGGGTGTAAAACATTTAGAAATCAGCAGAGGAACCTGAACAGCAAACAAGAAAGTGCCAGGGGAGGGAGCAGACCACTGAGCTGGGTGATGCAGAGAAGTCAGCAAACTATGGACAGACAATGGCCACTGGCTCTCCTCGGTTGTGCAGGTTGCTGGCAACCTTGAAGTGGGGAGTGGGAAGGAAATCCAGTGGGGCTGAGGAGGGACAGGGAGAGAAGACGTGGAGAATTCCATCAGCTTATACTTGAATACAAATACGATCTTCAGCCATTATTTTATCTGCCAGTTCCTTGAAACCAGCCAAGAGCTACATACTGTATCTTTACATATAATGAGCTTATCTTAAATCCTAACAGATTAGAACCAAATCACACGCAGATTCCCATTTGACTTCTCCATAGAGTGTACTGCTGATATTAAAAACAAAGATTGCTTTCAGTTTAGCCGTTGCATTTATTTTCATGAATTTGTGTTCAAAAGCAAAAACGGTAATGGCAAAGACTGGCACCCATCCCTCACATCGGGACAGTCCCTCTAAAATATATTTTAACTTACTATGTCCTCAAGCTACTCCCCTACCCACAGAGAGCTACAACATGCTCCCTCGTGCCTGCTCATGGACACCTCCAAGAACATTCCCATATGCCTCCTAAAGTTTCTTCTGCAGAACACTATTCCAAGAACCAAACAGTCTTGTGGTCTCAGGCCGCTGAGTTTATGAAATGCTGCACTTTATAATGTGCCTCCCCCCTTACCTGGAAGATGCTCATCGTATTATAGGTGCTGACACAAAAAGGTACACAGAAGAATCTGATTTTATAAAACCTAGGATTTCCCAAATTTGTTCACTACACTTTTATTTACATGTAATGCCTATGAACCTTTATAAACAATGTTGCAAAAAGCACTTGGGAAAAATGCTACTCTACAATTTCCCTGGAACAAACTCCATTTCTAGTGCACACAGTTCTGTTCCTGGAAGTTTTCTGGAACATTAAAAATGGGACAAAGTCCTTCAATTGACCTTCTTTTTGTATTCTTACTTTAAGCCCAGTCTTCTAAAGCAATCGTTTCCTTTACCCAGCTGCCCAACTCTGCTCTCCAAAGCACTGTTCTCACTTTCTACTTTCTACTCTGTCTGCCCTTTGTCAGCTTCTCAAAGTTGTATTGCTAACAGATATGTCTGTCTTTGTTGTAAAGTGCTATGCGGATCTACTTTTTAAATGGTGAGTGTGGATATAAATTTGTGGGGTTTTTTCACTTACCATTTTTAATGCACCTTTACAGGTATCAGTATAGTCCACTATCAATTCTGGCATAAACATGAAGAAACACTGTATGTATACTGTTTAACTATTTACCTATAGACCCTCTAGGTTGTTTCTAGCTTTTCAGCATTTTAAACGGAACCATGATCATGGACTTCTTCTCTGAGAGAAAAAAAACCACCACCAAATATCCCTCTTTGTTAATAATAATTTCAGTTTATCTATTTATTGTTATTCTCTCCCTATGAACAATTAATACTCGGCTAACAAAGTTAACCCAGTAACAATCTCTGATAAGATCACAGCTAAATCCTCTACTCTGCTCCCTCATACATGAGGAATATGTATACTGTTATGAGAGAATAATGTAAGAACAGGGTCTATTTTGTAGGATTGTTGTAAAGAAAGGACTTAAAATAGTGCCTGACACATAATGAGCACTCCATAAAGTTCACTGTCATCATCTCCAGGGCAAGGCCCAACTCAGTTATCTCAGCCATCCTTCTCCAATTTCCTATCAACTTTTCTGGACTTGATGGCTGAAGATAGATCTAAATGGGAGGGAAGAGGATGGAGAGGGCAGAGGAGGGTACACATCTATGGCTAATTCAAGAGTGGCTCAGGTCCACTGTAGAATTGCCCAAAAGTAAGGAGGCAAACAAATGTATATTCACACACCACTAGGGTGCAATCTGGATCCCAGAAACTGTATCTCTGATTTGTAAACAGCCAGAGTTGAGAGCACAGCAAAAGAAAGAATGCTTTCAAATAGAGCAAGAAGAGATACATGCAGCGATCTATCCCATCTTCATGGTTTCAGATACACCCTTGAAAAGTATGGGCAACTGGGGAAATTTCTGGTTGGTGTAGACGACTGGTTTTACTTCTTTGTTGTCACTCCTTCATAAAACTAAAATAAGGCGATCAAAAATACCTATCCAAATTCCTTTTTTCTCCCATATTCTCACAACCCATCCTGACACTGCTTAAATGTTTCTTTCTCCGTCCTTCCCCTCCTTTACAAAGCGGTGTAGGGTCCAGAGCAGCAGGAGACCTCTCCTCCAGCATACTGAGCGCAACTTAGACATGCAGCGGCACGAAGCACAATTTAAGTTCATGTGCTCATCTCTGCCGCACCGCCTGCTGGGGAAAAACTAAGTTCCAAAGCTACAAGTGACAACAATCTGAGAAGAGGTTTCACTTTCTGTAGACTCGGTGTAGTCTCATTGTCAAACTACAGAAAAACTGAGAAGGAAATAGGAATTACACCAAAATGAAAATTCTTTCAACATATTCTAAGACTTTTAGTTCTGTCTCATAGGCACAAAAGACTGTCAAAATAAGTATTACAAATTATAAAGTTAGTTACCAAATGTACAATGTATGTTGCTTTGAAATGTGACTTCAGAAAACAAACCATGGTTACCAAAGGGGGAAGGGTGGGGAGGGATAAATTAGGGGTTGGGGATTGACATATATACATTACTGTATATAAAACAGGTTAACAACAAGGGCCTACTATATAGCACAGGGAACTATATTCAATTTCTTGTAATAACGTATAATGGAAAAGAATCTGGGGAGAAAAAAATATATATGCATATATATGTATAACTGAATCACTCTGCTATTCACTTGAAACTAACACTGTAAATCAACTACACTTCAATAAATTTTTTTTTTTAAAAAGCAACCTCATGGCTGAGTGCCATCAACTTTTCTTCACCTGAACATATTCCTGTAACAACAACAAAAAATTCAGATATTCCTACTGTTTGCTCCTGGTGCCAGACTGTTTCTTCCAAGTTGTTAGAGTAAATATTACACATTTGATTTACTACGAAACTTAAATCGGGATTATTTCACTGCTTAAGTTAATTTCCCAAAAGGATAGCCTAAATATATTGCCTTTTAATTCAATATATCCCAAATCCTAATAATCCCTATCTTTACTGAGATTCGCATTATTAACATAAAAATGGCTGGTTTTCAGGCAGGCAGAAGGGAGCTATAATATTTACAATAAGCCACTAGGAACATGTACTTAAAACATAAACAAATGTCTAGACTGGGCCCAGGATCATATCTCAATTGCTGCATTTTTTCACAATTAATTGATTTTGGTAAAACATTGTAAAATTTCATATGCTGACCAATTTTTATTTTTGGTTCTAAGTAGGGCACTCTTCCTTCCTCAAACTAAATACAGTAGGATATTGTATTTTGATGGCTTATAATCAGAATATTTTTATTTCTGTTATGTGCCTTGGAACTACAGACTGTAAACATTTCAGCTTTTTGAGTAATCCTCATCTTTGGAGGCTGGGTTTGCTTGCTGCAAACAGCCAAAATCCAACCAGAGCCAAATCCTGAGAATAAAGTGAGTGACTAACATAGACAAGGCAGATTTGGGTAAATCTTTAAGAACAGCAATGATGGGTTATTAAGTATTAAATTCTCTTGTGTAGCAAGCAGGTAAACTGTCTCTTGAGGAAATTCCTGGTTAAGTATTGAAAAAAAAAGTCAGAGC